AAAGTTTATAGCCTGGACGAAGGGATAGGTAGTAAGTTCGTCTGTGTTTAAGTAGAACATAGGAGGAATTCTTCTTTATTGAGAGAATGGAAGAAAAAATATCAAGGTCAAGAGGCAGGTTATAGTCGTGGAAGAGCGAGATGGTTCCTACTACATTGCGAATGGAGTTCGGGTGTAGCTAATCTATGGTAATGTTAAAAAGTTTAATGACTTCGACGATCAAGGGGTGAAGTGGAAGACGAAGACCAGCTGCGAGTTGCTCTTCGAAGATCACAATCTCGTCGTGACTGTGCTCCCAAGGAAAGTTACTTAGGGGAAGACTATAGACAAGGTTGCTCGGAAGCCTATACTGAGCTACTAAGGACTGGAGCCTGTCCGCCGTCACCTGAGGCCTCTCGCGCCTCCCGGGGTGATTCCACCTCAAGAGGACCGCGGACCGCACCTTGACCCGAAGTAGCTTCTTCGGTGTGGCGATCTACGACCTGAGCCAAGGTACCCACCTCGGCCCCAGTGGATTCACCGCTCCCATCTAAGAGACTGCCAAAACTAAAGCTAGACATGGAAAAGACACTAAATCAAAAAGGAGAGCTAGGGAAGACTCATCAAAGAGAGACCGAACTAAAGGAAGAAACCAAGCTAAGGAACTTGAGCGCAACCTCAAACCGAAGGCTAGCAAATTTATGGCGAAGCAAATGAGTCTCGGGCCCCCTATTTATAGCCGCTATGTCCGAGAATCAACGGTCAAGATCGAACCAATCCAACGGCTCCTAGGAAAATCAGTTGCGCGACCCCCGAGGTTGAAATCGGTTTAGCGCATTTTTTGACGTCCGTGGAGTTTATAGATCGCGTGACGTCTGCACGTAGACCATACGCGACCTATGTTATCCCTGGTTGAGCCGAGTAGCCAAACAGGTCCGACCAACGATTCGCCCGACAAGCCGCTTGGACCTCGGGCCAAATCCACTTGGATTCATCATGAACTCCCCGCACCGGGTCGAGACCCCTAGCTCGGGGAGTGGGGGGCAATTGATGAAGGGTGATTTGGCCCGACCTAGTAAAGAGGGGACACGTGGACACGACCTGACTCATATGACAACTCAGCCTGATATGACCAGTCCGCAACAGATCGAGCTCGGATATTCAACTACCTCGGGACAAGGTCACCTCGCGACAAGTTTACCTCGGGATGAGATCACCTCGGTACAAGATCGTGACAGGATCACCTTGACCCCAAGGCACTTCGGTATTCAACCCATTTCGGAACTTAAAAGCATAAGCTCGGGGATACTAGCCAGCCTTATCTCCTCCCTGCCTGGTTTGGGCGGAATTGATAAGCCATATCAGTTGATAACGTTATCCCCCAATTAAAGCAGAAACGGATCTCATCATGATGAAGATCCCAGAACCGATCCACAAAACCCGCGAGGACTAAACTATATAAAGGCTCCACCCCCGATGGTTCAAAGTACGCATGATTTCTCTGCTCTCTAGCTCTCTACATTCTCAAAGCAATTTTAGCTCGCAACAGCTTATTAACTTAAGCATCGGAACGACCTCGCCGAGTTAGCCACCCCGGGTTCTCTGATCTTATTTCGCAGATCCGCTTAGCTCACCGTTCGACTGAAAGCCAGATTATCCTCTAGCAGGGAGTAGTCAGATCGCGTTGCATCATTATATATTATTAGTTTTAATATATACTATATTATTTATAATATAATTTTTATATGCATTTTTAATTTTTTATTATATATATTTATTTATAATATATTTTATAAAATAAAAAAACTGAAAAACCAATAAGTCAAATCGATAGTTAATGAAACCAACCTATCAAGTAATCAATCGACTTTGATTCAATTTCGGTTACCGATTTTTAAAAAACCAATACTGTCAATTCAGTTTAAAATTTAGGCCCACAATTTGGTTAATCGAACTGTCATCACTCTTAATATACAAGGACCAAATCCTCATCACGAATGTACACAGCAAGTGTACAGTCTCTTAATAATCAGTTCCATAAAATAGAGAATAGATTTGAACCGTCTTCATATTGTCTACACAGCCTTTTTGAACCGTGCATTGTAAACATCTCCTTTTATGTTTTAAAGTTTTTTATTTATGGGGAGATATTATCAATTCATGCTGCAAGGGGTTGTGAGGACCAAATCAGACTTCTATAAAATAGATTCAGAACTGAATGGATAATTGCGTCTAACTGTCTAACCTGATTATACTTGACATCTGCAATTATCTATTAACATTATTGTTAATAATATAATTTTAATAAAAATGACAGTACACTAGTTAAGTGTTTATATGTTGATAAAACAAATGTTTTTAATTAAAATTGTCTTATATAAACCTTGGTTTGAATTTACACCTTCTCATATGCAGCATGGAACTCAAACCCTCATTCCAATAGTCAATGTTTGTAACATTTTTATTTAATTTTTTTGTGACATTTGGAATCAATGCCTTTTTCACAAAGAATGGTGACACATCAGCACTTCATTGGAGAATACTGATTTGAAACATGTTCTCTATTTAGTTGGCGTTTTTCGAGATAATGCTGAAAAAATGACCATGGTTTAGAAATGGAGAAGGCATGGTCAGAGAAAACGTCAAAAAAAAAATGTTTTCTCATTTTTATACCATTGTTAGCAATAATTAACTGATATGGCATTGAAAATGCTGAGGTGGCAACTATGGAACCAAACAAAGAATATTGCCCTTTTTCTTTGTGAAAATAGCACACCATTACTTCTTTATTTTCTTAGAAAATAGCAATAAAAAACATCAGCTCCAAACACCACTTTAAATGGTTTTGGTAGCATCCTATATTGATGGGCGGTAGAGGCAGGTCCCAAGGCTGTGTTTGGTTGCAGTGCAAATTTATTTGCACTCAAATGCATGGGAATGCAAATGTAAAAAATGTAAATTTTTGTTTAATTTTGTTTTGGATTTTGCTTTATTTTGATTTATGTCTTAATTTACTTCATTTATACTGCAATCAAATAAAATAAGCTAAAATTTGAAACAAAAATAGGTCATAATTTACACTCGAATCATTTGTACTGCCATAGTTTTGCATCAGTGTAAATTTGTTTGCATTGCAACCAAACACAGCCTAAGTGGCAAAACCATACGATGTTTTGAATCCCCACAAGCAGAAAATAAAATTTTTGAGAACAAAAAATCAAATGCAAAAGTTTTTGTATTATGATCTACAACTATTAGTGTGAGGTGCAATGTATTCTACCCCTTCCACTTAAGCAAAAGTTTTAGAAAATTTCCAATACACCGACATTCACGTTAGAAGCCTCTCCTTCATCACCCGAATTTTATAATTTTGATGGGTTAGGTTCTTACCCCAACCCAATCCAATCCGTGGTTAGGGTTGAATTTTTTTAAGCCCCAAGTTTGATTAGAAAAGTTCCGCTATGACCAGCCAGTGAGCAATGATTAGGGGTGTTCATGAAAAACCAAAAAATCAAAAAACTGCATCAAATCGAGAAAACAGAACCGTAAAATGTAATTAATTGAACCGATTGATTTGGTTTCAATTTCGGTTTGGTATTTTTGAAAAACCAAAGGATCAATTCGGTTTTCGGTTAACCTACAAAAAAATCTGCTGTTAACCGAACCAACCGATATACATATTTATATGTATATTTTATATATATTTTTAATATGTCATATATTTTCTATATATTATATATAAATATATATTCATTATGTAAATATATACATATATTATATTTATAATAATCTATTTATAAATTATATTATATATTTTTAAAATATTTATAATATATTATATATCATTTATTATTTATAATATAATATTACACATATATTTATATAATATATATTATAAATATAAAAAACCGAAGAACCGAATCGATCAAAAACCAAAACCAATGGACCAGTTAACTGGTGGTACCGGTTCAGTTTCGATTTAAAAAAATGAAAAAACCAATGGTATCAATTTGATTTGTAAGAATTATCCATGGTTCGATTAACCGAACTGTAAACACCCCTAACAGTGCCCACTTGCATTGCAATTTGCAAAGCTATGTAGCACATTAGCACCTTCGTTTGGGATCGAGGTTTTAATGCATCAGATTGGATTAGGGTCGATTTCAACCTTAAGTCAATTCAGCCCAAAATCCTCATCCCATGTCTGTAACTCTGGCAGTGGTCCCCGTCTCAACGGTTCCCATCTCCCAAGTCCAAGTGACATTGCTCTGACAAAAGGTCCCAAGTATATAACATTAGTATAATTAGACAATTTTAGGCTATATTTGGTTAAATGTAAAGAAAAGAAGGAAAAGAAAAGAAAACCTTTACAAATCTTATATTGGTTCAATTGATTCAATTAACTGTCTGTCAACAGTTAAATCCATGAAAATACATAACCCCCTCTGCCCTTAGGTATAGAGGATTTGAATTCAATTGGTGGGATCTCCATCTGGTTGCAGCATAGACTCGGGTCAAATCCTACTGCCACAAGGGTTTGGGGTAATGGGAATGGGGATGGGTTCCCCGTTGTGTAGAACCTTGAAAGCCATAACCACCTCTCCTCTCCCCTAGGTATGCAGTATTTGGATTCAAGTAAATTACCTTATCAACTGGTTGAATTGCTAAGATATATATGATTGGTTGTAGGAGAGACTTAGGATCAAGTCGGGTCAGTGCGGAGTTACCACTTAACCCTACTCATCAGCATCCATGCATGGGTAGGGGGGACGGGCTACCCCCATTGTAAAACCCATGAAACAAGCCCAAGAAAGAAGGGGGCGATCGTAACAATATCTTCTTCAGGCTATTTTTAGTCTTGCAAATCGGGTCCATCCTATGGTAGCCACTAATGCCCGAAATATGGAACAGGTGGCAAATTATGAGGGGTATAAAAGAACTCATCTGAGCCAAGCTAAGCTTTACCTAGTTAAATATGGCTGGGCGCGATTCATTTTCCAAATCCTTTTGTTATAGGACCATTGAAACTCAAACACTAACCCATCCTCAAAAGTCAATAAAAGAACAAGAAATCAACTTAAAAGCAAAGCAAGCTGATGTGCATTTGCTCACTGGAATCTACTTGAAACCAGGCACAGTTCATCTTTTGACTCTTTTTGATGAATTTTGAGAGGCTTGTTTGGCCTGAATGCCCAACAGAGTGAATATATAGCAAGCAATCCAAGTTTGGGACGTCTAGCGTCAGAGGCAACAAAGTGTTTATTTAGATTGATTGTCATCTAGTGCTTTTGGGTACCGTGCTGTTTGTCTCGTGACAACGCCTCCTCAGGAGACAGGCTCAGAGGGGATAGACGCAGTGACCAAAAGCTGCAAAATACAATCAAATAACGACATCAGAATTCGGAAGTGTTGGCTGCACAGATGAGAAGTAGAGGTAGATGGCGATGGATAAGAGGTTAATTAATTTGCTTGGTTTGGTGGTTTTCACTTACAAGGGTCGTTTTGAACAATGAGAGCAGTGGCGTTGAAATAGCAGTCCCAGGTGTGCTTCCCAGCGGCCCTGTAGTGGAGATTCATAACGACGGATGCATGAGAGACAATGTTATTCGGGTAGAAACAGCTCCCATTTGCTGCGATCACACTGCAATCCACCCCACTCTGCGAGCAGCTGTACTCTATATTGTCTTTAAGCTTGTTCTCCTCCGTTGATGGCTTGGCGATGCACCAGGTTTTCTAACATAACCCACAAGTTAATTAATACATAATCTTTATCAGACACTCCACTGCATCATGCACATGCAGATGCAGTAGTCCAAACTGCTTTTGCAGCCTTAACTTACTTACAGCTTTAGCTTTTGTTCCCAGTAGATGTTCCCAGCTCCCATTATTAATATGGGCCCACTGTAATGCATGAGCTAAAGAATGAAATTTGGAATTTTCTTAAATTTGGATCTTCCAAGCTCCTAGGTGTGTTTCTGGATGAATGACATTTTTGTAATTATGGTGAAGAGTATTCCGGGCCACAAGTCGAGGACCCCTTAGAGTGATTCCTTGGTATTTCTCACTCTTTTCTCTTTCTCTCTCCTTTCTCCTCTCTCTCTCGTGTTAATTTATTCCAGCCCTACTGCATCACACTGCCTGTTAGAGAATAAAAACCTATTCAAGGGCATCACATAACAGTTTACGCTTTTAGGTTGGATAGTTTTTTGAAATGGTATCAAAGCCACTTTGACCAAAGGGCTTTTGCGTGAGGACTTTTGAGATGTTTGTCCATGATTCAAGCATCACCTAACAGAGGTTGGGTGGTTTCTTTGAGACTGCACACCCACAAATTCCAGATTCACTGTGGTTAACTGGATTTTTTGCATAGAACCCATAAATACAAATGATATAAATAAGAGACATATTATAACATATTGAAATGAACTACTAATAATAGAAGAAAAAACTGTAGCAAGGAAAAGACCCCTGAAATTTTAGTTAGTTGCATTTCAGATCTTGGACCCAAAGTAGAGGAAATACAAGAAAATTAAAACCTTGAAATGACACAATGTTTTCTAGATGCAAATGGTGCATTTCATTTGTAAGAGGTGGATGAGAATAGATTTATATGCTTAATTAGTATTTATTCAATTTAGTTAATTCTTCTGACTGCCAGAGCTCCCAAGTCATGAATTACCAGAGCATCAACTACCTAACAATAAACAATAATAAAGAGACAATAGAAAACAAAAAATGGGGGAAAGAGAAGTGACTCAAAGAAAGGAACCTTGGTATGCAACAAGCTTACCTGCTGTCGTCTATTTGCAGCAGCTGTTCTTGACTCTGCAAGAAATTAAACCAGATAGATTTAGAGGTCTTAAACTGTATATAGAATAAAAAACTGGAACAAACTCTCACAGAAAGGAGAACCCTTGTTATTTTAATCAATCTCCAAAGATTAAAACTTAAAACCAAACAAACGTTAAGGTATTGCAGCGAAGCTAGCAGAAATAACTCTTCTCCTTGTGCCCATGTTTTTGCCAAGCGTCCATGTCTGGTACTTCAGTTAAAACCCAGGAAATAGGATGATTTAGTGGTCGACATTTTTTATTTTTCGGTATTTCATTTACTCTCTCTGTCTCGTCTCTTTTCCCTAAATCTATTAGAGATATTCAGAAGAATCTCATCATTCACCAATGTCGCATCCCAATCCATTAAATCCAAGCAAACAAAGAGATAAGATGAAAGCAGAACAGTTGGGAGAGAAATGAACCAGAAAAGTTATATCGTATGAGTAAGAAATATTTAAAGAAACAGATCAGAAGAGAAAGGTCATTTAATCGATCCCTAAGATAGAATCAAATAAACGAGCTGCATGCATGCATGCACCTGAAAGAAAATGTATTACAAAACCAAATTAATATAAGTGGAAAATACCTGCGCAGGAGGCTAAACACAGGATACAAGCCAAAGCCAGAAGAACATGAAACCCCAATGACTGTTCCGCCCTGGCCATTTTTCAGTCTGTGAAGAAAAAGAGAAAGAGAGAAATAGAGACCTTGGGTTTTGAAGCTTTAAGTTTAAGGGAGTTTAACGGTCACACCATGTGAGGTTTTCATGAAGACAAACGGTACGAGCTTGTGATACAGATATGTACAGATCGTGAAATGACGGAAGTGTCCATATAGCGTCAAAGGCGTGAACTGTAACTACAATGGAGACCGGATCTGCTCCTGCGGCGCTCACACGCACATCGTATCATTCATTGGGAACATCGATGCTTCTAATGCACGGTGGATGTGCATGTAAGGCGCCCAAATGTGAGGTCACTACAATCAAGAATGCCTGTGAGTTGTGAAGGGGGTGAAGGAATTTTGTTTAAAGAACTGCACTTTATGAACTTTTCAGTTTTCACCATTTTCTAAGTACAAAAAAGCGGAATAGTATGGATACACTCCATGCAAAATTCTGAATTCCAGCCCTCCCTATTACTAGCCAAAAAAAAGGGCAGATTCCGTTCCGGTGGAAAAGGAAACCCTATGCCCTAGCCCTACTATTGGAGCTTTACAAGGAAAGAGAATTGATTACATGGATAATAACAATAATAACAATAATCAATGCTGCTGGTGGTTTGTCTGGTCTAATCTTCTTGATCAGTTGATGACTTGATGATGACCCTCTTTCTGGGCTTGGGTTGGGTTGAGCCACAAGCAAGCCCATAGAGAGTTACTGGTGCACATGGGCCAGCATTCATATGGGAAATGATATTACCCATTTATTCAATATTTTATGGATATAACCCATACGGTTAATATCCATATATTTTTTTGGTAGGTTAAGGTTAGCTATTAACAAAATTCAAAGTTAAAGGTTCTACGAGCCAAATAGGAGAATATATACTCTTATTTACCTAAACATTTCACCTTCTACGCAATAATAGGAGATACCCAATTTAATGCCTTTTAACACATTTAAAAATCACATTTTACAATGAGAAGATCATATCATATCTATCAAAAACCAGTTGACGATCATGGGAGTGGGATGATTCTCCTATCTTTAATAAGGGCCCCTTTGATAGGGTTGATTGAATTCCATTTAGGGATGGCAATTTTTACCCTACCCGATGTATTCCCTTTCCTACCCTCTCGGATGGGGTGGGTGTTTTTGCTTGAAGGATGGGTTTTCAGGTAGGGACAGGTTTTGGGATTTTACAACCTTATAGGTATAGATAGGGTATGGAATTAGGCTAAACCTAACCCTCCTTGATCCGCATATTGTTGGAAAGCATATAAGCTTTACGTACTATGTGTTGAATTTAATAATATTTTGAATTTTATGTGAAGGATAATTGATAGTTTATGTATTTTCTATATATCTTAATCAAATAATTGAAAATTTTGTTGTTTATTTGTGTTATTTTACTTATTTATTGTTTATATATGAGAAGAAATAATAGGAAATTAGATACAAGATCTAAACCTAACCCACTCCTATCCTTGAATGTGGGGAGGGTTTAGATTCTCAAAATCCAACCTGCTACAGGCTTTGGGGTGGGTACGGGTTGAGAGATTTAGAGAGTTAAGTGGGGTATAGAATTTACACAACCCTCCCGAATCCGCCCCATTTCCATCCGTAGCTGCATTGATTGGATTGCTTTATACCAAAACTAAATTTATGGAAAAAATTGATTTCTCGGTTTAATGTAAACTTTTATTTTTTTGAGCTTTGTGAGTTTTTCACCAAACATAGCTTCACAGCTTTCAATGTAGGGCTCATCTTGCAATGCTAGGAGCAGCTGTGTTGGGTGAAATCCCTCTCAAACGGGCACAAAGTGCAACAATCACCCTTTACTAATTAGATTCTAGAATTAGAAAGTGTAGCTGCAGGCCTCTTATACCTTTCAAAACAGCCCATGGCTCATTCTTTTAATATGAGCATCTCTTTTGCAGGAATTTGTAGAAGTCATTGAAACAATTGAACTTGGAGGAATTAAAGATTCTTTGGTTGGAATTCCTGGCATAAGTGGTCTATCTACCAAACAGCGCAAATGGCTAACCATTGCAGTGGATGAGTGGAGCTTGTTTCCAACCCATCTATAATATTCATGGATGGACTTGCAAGAGAGAGAGAGAGAGAGGGTCAACTTGATGAAGCTGTTGTCAGAAATTTCTCCCTTATTTCTTCTTCTATGAGATCTCTATCTCTTTGTTGCTTACCCTAACAGCAAGCATTCTACTTGCTTCTCCACCTATATCCTTCATATGTAATCGCCTACAGCCCTTCATTCACCCCACAAACCCACAACCAGATCCTAAGTTAGTAGGACCCCTACCTCGTCCTACATCAGGTGCATTTTCATTTTTGTAGACTTAGGAAAATATTTGTATAAATATAAGGTGGGTAGTAGTTTTTAATCTCACTTTTCTAATTTTCTGATAGGAAATCCCTGGTTTGCCAAAGATTAAAGACAATCATAATAACCCAGCAACATGGATGTTAGAAGTCACTTCAGCATCTGCTGAAACAGAACTCAATATAGATTTTGCCCACATCTACAAGGAGTCACCTCTGTATCGGTGAGTATAACCTTTCTGTGTAGGGACAACAAAGAGCTTGTTAAGCAACTAAAAGAGCCACCACCAGGTTCAATAAACTTGCATTTTCCTACTCGGTTTCCACGTAATGGTTTATATATATATACACAGCCATAGCATATCCAACAAGTAATAGGGTAACAAAAATCTTCTGCAATTTCTACATAACATTCTCTGGCTACTGTGTATACCTCGGGATGCTAATAGTTTCATTAAGCTCAAATCTCCAAGTTGCTTCTGTCTTGGCATCTGCAACCTACACCATGCTGAGCCTTTTCTCGGGATTTCTAATACCTGGACCGGTAAATACAATCACTGCATCTATCTAACCAGTGGGTGGTAGGGAATCATCTATTTAATTTGGCTCCTTATTTCCTCTATATAGATATTGCAAGAGAAATAGTCATAAATATACGAATGGTAACTTAATTACCTTATGAAACAGTTGACTACAAATAGATTAAAATCACGGTTTGTGGCTGCAATTTAAGGTGGGTAAAGAGTAGTGGGCAGGAAATCCGGTTTATATCTGCTTCACCTTTTTTATTAGGGTTTAGGGATAGTAGTCACAAGAGAACAGCGTCCATACAGCCATTTGTGTCGATTCGTGTACTGAAAATGTCTCTGTACTTATATATATATATTTATAAGAAGATACTCTTAATGCAAGGCTATAAGGGACTGTGTGAATGATGTGAGCACTGAAACAGATTTTTTTTTATTAATGAATTCAGATTTTCTCACAAAATTTATCCTCACACTCACCTTATTCCCTCAGCCGCGCTAACATCTCCTTATTTTTCGTGGGTAGATATTACTGAATTTGTTACCCACAGAATACATCTCACACCAATTTCACAGCCCATCGCAGCTGTGCATTGAAAACAATTTCCCATGAATGATAATATCAAGTATGGAAGATGTTTTCAATGTATGGCTGCGATGGGCTGTGAGATTAGCGTAAGGTATGCTTTGTGAGAAACATGATTTAAAGTATTGATATACACGAACAAGTGTATCAGGTGTTTCTATGCTTATAACTTCCTTTTAGTCTTTTTTTCAAAAATGTTTCACGGTGTTGGTTTTAAGCTTGCTTATCCCCTGAAACAGCCCAAATTCTAAAACACTCCTTATTGGGGGTTTTGGGAAGTTGCCAATACAATACGGCAGGGTATATTGTATCGACTTTTTAAACTTTGGTGAGAAGTAAATCTAATCTTTCATGGCTGTAAAAGAGGCAAACTGGGTGTGAAGACAAGCTTCATGAGGAGAAAAATCCATTATCTCCTTTAGCTTATTCACATAAATACATGAAAACATACAAGCATGGAAATGCTCTCAATGCACGGATGCAAATTGTTGTGAGAACCGTATAAGGACTAAATTTGAGTAGAAATCCAATCTCAGAAGCCTCAAACCAGCTGAAACGCTTTGAATGACTTGGGATATCCTCCCGGCTCCCAAAAAAAATGCTTCCAACACATTTCAACATACCGCACATCTTAAGCATGGTGGGTCTTGTCTCTTGGTGAGATGTGCGTGTAGGGTGATGTTCAGATTTACTCCTCACAGAATGCGCCTCACACCAACCTCATAGTATTGGGAATATCTTTCCACGAATGACAAAATTAAGTATGGGCGATATTCTCAATTCATGGGTAAAAGTGATGTGAGGCACGCTTCATAAGAAGCAAATCTAGATTAAAAAAAAAAGAAGCAGGTGTCCAGATTTCCTAATAATGTGTTTACAATTTAGTTAGTTTTTGTTAGACAGTTGTATGCCCTTAGATTCAATTAGAAATATGTACATTATGAATTTATTGTAAATGAATAAATTACACATTTGATTCATGTTCCTGTGGTGTGTTTCTGTGTAATACCCTTAAACTGGACACTTAATGAGACTTGTGTTAGTTTAGAATGTTCACAGCCATTGG